CATTGGTGGAGATTTTATTGAAATATTTAGGTGAATCTGTCTGCTTATTTCTAACCAGTATTTAAATATTTAAAATGATTTGATTCGTAAAGTATGTTTTACTTATGGCAAAAGTAGCATTTGAGTGTTTAGGAAAAAATTATTAATGAGATTGAAAATGTGAGTATGGGGAGCCTGGGTGGCTCGGTCGGTTAAATGTCCGACTGGGGCTCAGGTCATGATCTCGCAGTTTGTGGGTTTGAGCCCCAAGTCGGGCTCTGTGCTGACAGCTCAGAGCCTGGAGCCTGTTTCACATTCTGTGTCTCCCTCTCTCTCTGCCCCTCCCCTGTTCATGCTCTGTCTCTCTCTGTCTCAAAAATAAATAAACGTTAAAAAAAAAAAAAGAAAATGTGAGTATGAAAAAGGTGTCAATGGCAGTAAATGTTTCCCTACATAAAAGAGCCTTGCACATTTTAGGAACAATGTTATTCTCGGAGTTTTTCGTAATAGGATTCTTGCATAAAACACAGTCCTATTCTCCAAAACCTTAGCAAAGACTACTAAGAAAAGAGATAAGGCAGACTCTGATACATACTAGGGTACCATTTACATCTCTGATAAAATAAACATCAAAGTCTTTACTGGGAAGCCCAGACACGAAACATGTTTCTTTGTGCATCCTCCTCCCAACACCAAAAATACAGAAAGTAGGTGTGTGGTGCCTCTAACAAAGAAACAGGCACATCTCTTACTTCACAGGGTTGACATTTTCAACGTTTATCTTTAGAAGCTACACTAGGTCAGTCTGACATGCTTTTTGGAGCATCATAACTTGAACTTTGAGAAATGGCCCAAGTTGATAATGCTAATGGCAAAGACGAAATCCCGTTGGCAAAACTGCCACGCCGGAAAAAGCAAACCTCTTGTACGACAGTCCTGATCAATGTGTTAGCTACTCCACACAATATTCGATATGCCCACCAAAATGTCCCAGCACAACAAAGGCTTGCGGACAGAGAGTGCCTTGAAGCCCGTGTAATGGGATTTGACAAGAGCCAGGCACTTTAGGCAGGCTCAATCAATGTTAATTGAAGCAGAAGTGATTCAAAGGCAAATGGAAGTCCTTGAGAGGTGAAAGGGGGGCTCTGGGATTGTGACTCCCTCCTTTTCCCATTACCCCCTTATATTTAATTACTTGTTCTAGCCGGTGAACTGTAATTTGATTTGCCATCAGGTGACTCTGTCCTGGTCTCCTATGTTAGTTGAGTCTTTCATTTAAAGGAAAAGTATCTCAGAACCTGTGGGGGTGCCTGTCTCACAGGAAGGAAACTTCTCTGGCAAGTGGGTTTCAGATTGATAAAGAGTCCTTTCCAGTCCCTAACATAGCAGAAGTATCAGTAGAAGGACAAGGGGAGAAATGGTTTAGTCTTGAATGATACTGCTGTATTTTCTCTGGGGCATTATTATCTTGATAATTGACCAGCACCTGAATTTTGAATTCACTTGGGCTCCCTACAGAAGCAGATCCTAAGACAGGAATTTATGAGAAAATTAACTACTTACTGGGGAAGGGATTCCAGGAAACACTGGTTGAGAAGCAAGAGGGTGACACAGGAAGGAAACGCAGCCAACAAAAGTGGGCTAACAAACTAGTTCCCACCATGGGCAACTAGAGTGTCACCTCACTGGGGAACTCCGAGCCAGTGCAGAACATGCCTCAGTTGGCCCAGCCAAGGGTGAGGAGCTGTGGCATTTATATACCAACTCTCTTCAGAGGGGTTGAGGGCTAGGCTCGGTGGGGTGAAGAATGGACACCCCAGCACTTCTGGCCCGGGATCACACAGGCCCCACAGCCAGAGAAAGCCCTCAGACACGGACAAGGCCAACTGCATCTGCTATGACCTGCCTACAAACATATAAACTGCTTTATACTCCAGTGTCCTTTCAACACATACACCATAACACCACCTTCTGGATGAGCTGTTGGAGCAAACTGGGAAAAGGTTGCTTCTGTGTGACAGAAATGATGTCCTTTGATACAGCTTTAGGAACCAAGGTTTGAGACAGCATGGTCAACCAAATATTTTGCCTACCTAATGGTATTTTGCCTATACACGGTGCTCTCTCATTTACCCTTGAGAAAGTTCTTAGACTCAACATTCGCATCCATTAGGATCTCCTCTGGATAAGATGCACTGAAATCTTTGAATGCTAAACAGAAGCAGAATTCAGCCTAAGGTAGGCCGAGCCTGGACTCCATCCAGAAGAACACCTTTACTTTTCATATTGATTTGCAATTAGTTGCATACATTTGCCAAGAGCTTAGATAGTAATTGTGGGAAGCAGGCAGGAATGGTTGATAATTAATCGTCCCAAGTTATAAGGAAGGACAATGAAGGTGCAAAGGGAAGGTTCACAGTCAGAAGCCAGTAAAGCAGACGGGGACTCGGGCCAAGGAGAGGAAGCAGCCGACCAAAGTGGTGAAGAGCCCAAGTTTTGGATTCAGGCAGACCTGGTGCATGCCAGCTATGACTCTCACCAACTGGGGAGCCTGGTCCACTTATACACAGCAATTTCATGCCTCAGTTCCTCATCCAGGTAATGCGAGTTCAAAGTACCTACCTCACATGTTTGCTATGAGTAAACGAGCCACTACTTATAAAGATCTTTGCCCAGTGCCCATCACGAAGCAAACATTTAGTAATTGTTACCTGCTTTTCTGTTGTTATTATCACCATTTTGATGACTTCAAGGTAGAAAGTAGAAAATGTTCTTTCTACTACGCACAGCTTGAAGTCCAGGGATACCCATGGGACTATCATACACACCAAGGCAATCAGAGAACAACTAATTTATTTGCCACCCTCCGTGAAATGAATCATCTTAGCTCTTGCTTTTGCATCACATTTTGGCCATCCAGAAATCTCAGGTGTGATGGTGGAGACGGCAGGGGCATTTTCAAAAGTGCTTTCTCAACGGAAGTGGCAGTCTGCTGAGGCCAGAGATGGCTCAAATTCTTCCCCCACGGTGAAAGGGCCCTCTTTGTCAGTATTTAGAGACCCTACTGTCCTCGGATGCTATGGGCCTGATGTTGCAAACAAGTGGGAAAGATGGTATCTCAGACATCTATGTGAATGGTAAATTTCACTTTCTGTAGAAGCAATAGCGCTGTCTCCGTGAAGCAGGTAAAACACCTGCTGTATTCCACAGAGGGAGGAATCAAGGTATTTGGCTACGTGGTCAAGGGAGGGAGCAGCAGATTCTCTTCTCCCATGAATCTTCACCTTTCTTTCTACTGGCTTTAAGCAAAGAAGCCTAAGATGCTATTCACAGGCTACTCGGTGCTCTCAGTCAACTGTATAGTCAACTATAAGGACTTAAGAGTGTTCTTTCAATTCTTTACTAACAAAGAAAAGAATCACCATTTATTGAGTGCTGCCACGTCCCTGTGTGTTTATAATGTGGAAAGTATCATCCATGCGATGCTCTTTTATAAGCACATATCACCATAAATACAGGATCATTATTCCCATTTTGTGGATGAGGGAATGGACATTCTGAGAGTTTGTAGCCTGTTCTAGAGTCTCACAGAAATAAATGGGGACTCCAGAATGAGAGAATAATGGCAGACGGCAGCACAGTGGCCTAACTGGGTTATGCCGTAACTAGAGACGTCTAGAGTTGACTATACCATGAAGAAGAGAAGTTGACCACACACATGGACCGCACGTGTAGACAACAAATTACTCTGTATGCCACTGAAGGAGCACTGAGCTTCATCCAGCCGAGATCTCTGACTGGTCAACCACTCAAAGGTCTACCTTGGACTTTCTTACACAGCACTGAGGACACAATATTGAAGGAAATTGACAGAGACCTTGTTGCTGAGTCAACCAAAGGTGTTTTATTGCAAAGCAGGCAGTTACAGAGCATTAAGTCAGCAACGCCACAATTTCCGTAAACTCAAACACAGAAGCAGGCCTTGTTCTCTGATTCTTCCAAAATGAGCAGATCCACAGGCGGACCTGCACAACCCTGCTGATGAGGTCAGCTGATCTCCAGTTCCTGCTTTGCCTTGGAAAACGGCATTTCCAAACTGTCCACTTATTGTTGGTTAGCTCACATTCAGGGTATTTGAAGCCACTTTTGGTATTTATAATTTCTCTACCATTCTAACTGCAGGATCAGACAGGAATTAAATTTCAACCTACAAGGTTTGTGTTTCTTTGTAGCGTAACATATATATCAAATAGTGTGCAAGAGCCCCAGGTATAATATATGTTTGATTATATTTCAACTCTAAGCGATACCACATTGAGATCGCTTCACTAGCTAAGCAAATGTGACTCGGGCCATTACCTGGATCCAAACTTACAAAAAAAAAAAAAAAAGAAGAAGAAAGAAAGAAAAGAAGAAAGAAAATGTATTTTTAATCTAAGGATCAGTACTACACAAATCAAACCACGCAGCCCCATTTACTAGGTAACCTGGGATTGCAATTCAGAAAATCCTTCGGGACAGAATTTATTCATAAACAAGGCTAATGTCAGCAAGAGAATTATACTTTCTAAAACAATTCTTTTCTTACAGTTCTCAGGGCCAAGAGAAGAAAAAGAAAAGACAGTGGGGTGGGGGGAAGGAAAGAAAGCCAACCATTTAAAAGCATCTAGAACTGTGTTATGCACGTGATGGCAAAGCCAAAACAGTCCGATCCGGGACCACACGCCGCTCAGAGAGCATCGGTCTGAAGGGGTGCTGGGCTTGAGTCCCACTCCAGGTGCTTCCTGGCTCCAGCCTCTATGTTTCTGTCCTGGGGACCAGCAACATCTTCCTCACTGTCCTTCAGCAGTTCCCCCAGAGACCTGAGGAGGTGGTCTGTCCTCTGGCCAAAAGCAGAGCCTGTGGAAGGACACACGGGAAAAAGCCCCTCAGGCCTGGGCCCGACCATCTGACAGCTAAAGGCCGATGGAGTCAAGGGCAGAGGGAAGAGTGATGTTTCCTCACCTCCGCCAGGCTTCCTTCCTGCCGACTCTCCAGAAGGGTGGCTTTATGCTTTGGAGCAGCCAGTGGCTTGGAATCTTTGAGATCTTGTAGTGAGCTCATTGGGGTACCCATCACCTTTCAGTCCATGATATCTCTGTTGACAAGAACATAAAATAAATACCCCTGCATCACTGGTCGATGAATCTTGAGGAGAAGGAGACACAACAGAGTAACACAGACACACAGAAAGAAGAGGAGGGAGGATGAGAGAGAATAAAACTCAGAAAGGATACTCTACCTGCCACCTTTCCCTGGAACTCCCCTAGATGGTCGCATGCTGGACAGGAGGCTCCAGGTGAAGTCTAAGACCGCCCAGAGGTCTCAAAGGTCTGAGAGGTCAGGAAGCATCATTCCACTGCCACGCAGGCACCTGAACTCAAAACTCAGCTCCTTGAGAACCTCAGCCAGCCTTGCCCCGACTCTCCTGAGTGGATCCTGTCACTGAAATACTACATAACAGAGAGCAGTTGGAAGTTAGCAAGAGGTTCTCCATTTTCCTTTGCCCCAGGGTGGTGGTCAGGGAAAGGGCGGGGTGGGGGGGTAGGAGGGGTGTCAACAACCGCCTGGTCTTCTCTTTAGTGACTTCAGTCTTCGACTTCAAACTCTCAACTTCCCACCCAGTGATAACTCTCATGACCCACGGTTCAGGAGATCAAGCCCCACATCAGGGTCTGTGCTGACAGTGTGAAGCCTGCTTGGGATTCTCTCCCTCTCTCTCTCTCTCTCTCTCTCTCTCTCTCTCTGCTCCTCCCCTGCTTGCGCTCATGTTCTCTCTCAATCTCTCTCTCTCTCACAAAAATAAACATTAAAGAAGTATTGTTTAAATTACCTTCCCTATTAATAGACATCAAGATGCCATGAAAAATATTAGGCCTGGGTTAGAATCACAGGTCTCATCCAGAACTGTGTGATGTTGGGCTAGTTGTAATTAACTTCTTTAGCTTATTTCCGCATCTATAGAATGAAGAAAAGATCACCCATCCCATAGGGCCGTTACATCAAATTAAATAATGCACACAAAATATCTAGCCTGAGAAAGTATTCCCTCCACAGTTATTTGTTTCTCTAGTCTCTTCAAAAGGGTCGAATCTTATTCTTTCATCTCTGTCCCCTCTTCCTCACTGTTGCGGGACTTACCCAGAAAAGTGGTAAAATGTGTAGAGAAATGCAAGGGGTACTGAAATGAGGGTAGAGATTAGCTTCATCACAGGCTCATTTGGAGGACTGAATGAGGGAATATGTGTTAAGTTCTTAGATCGAAACCTGGTATATGGTGTTGAGCCATGGTAATGTATATGAAATAAAATAATTTTGTAAATTTATATAGGATTCCCTGACTCCATGAAGCACTCCAAACATAAATTATCAAGATACTCTTTCTCCTGCTTCAAACGTCTTCCTCTCTTTCTCAAACAAAAATACCAGACGGTAAATAGAGACAGTGGAATTTTTAGAAAATCACATATTAGACCTTTTCCCCCGTTAGGTAATGCATTAGGAAGCCATGATGTGTGAAGTACCATACTAAGAACTTTGTAAATAGTGTCTTAACTCTCATCTGAACCCTGTGAGGAGCTTCCTTGAGTATTCCTATTTTACAGATGTGGCAACTGAGAGACAGGGAGGTTAAGGAATCTTCCCAGGGATGCACAGCCAGGAAGATGCGGCACTACATTTTTTAACTAGCTTTAGAATCACGTTCTCACTCACTATGGATCTACCTCAGAACTTTCTGTGAGGATGGAAATGTTCTGTGCTAATATGTCAGTCATTAGCCATATGTAGCTCTTGAGCTCCTGAAATGTGTCTAGTGTGACTGAGGAATGGACTTTTAAATTTTAGTTAATTTTACTTAATTTAAATCTAAATAGCCACACATGTCCAACAGCTGCCATGCTGGATACTGTGCGTCTACTGCACCTTGAAGACCTTGCAGAGGCCCCTCATTTTGATGTTAGAGATGACTTGATTTCCCCTAGACATAAAGTCAGGGCAGAACCTTCGGAGGCGGGGAGTAGGGCTATGCCAATTACACAGCACAGGGTTGGAACAAGATAACACCTGAGTTCGAAACGTAGGTTCTGTCATTCACTGGCTGTGCCCATAGCCCATCAGTCAACCTTCCTGTGCATCTGATCTCTTTTTGATTAGGGAGGCATAATAATACCATGTCTAGGGCCAACGTGATCATCAAGTAAAACAGCACATGAGAAAGTGCTCAGCACATACCTGGTACAATTCAAGGGGAAGTTGCAACACGTACACACGTAACTTCTAAGAATCCCTATCTCTGTGCTTGGTGAGGCAGCAGAAGAGAGGGAGAAAGTAATAATATCTAGGGGGCAGGACGCACGTGTCTGTCACAGACTGAGCACAGGATAGTAGACAGAAATGTTTTCTCATTTCAATAGGCTCTTAGAGTCTTCGTGCCTGATTCTAGTGTTTATGTGTGATTTCCCCCTAATGCTCTGATTTTAGAACTTAATCACCACCCCACCCCCTTGCTAAATAAGGGTTCTATTGCTATTCCCCTCTGCACTAAGTTCTTACGTGCAGGCTATTATGATGATTATTTTTATAACCGAGTAGCAACAATCTTTATCCCAGCCAGCTCTTGGCTACATGCTTGTTCTTGCCAGCTCACTCACACGCCCTTTCTCCCTCTGTCTTTCTTTCTCTCTTCTGTGTATACACACGTTTATGTTCTCTCTCTATGTTGGTTTGTAACTTAATTGTGTCTCGTGTCCAAACCCATCCTGCTTCGTAGTGCCGGGGCTGGGACTCTGCAAAACACATTTCTCCTGGGCCGCATGCAGGCTCCCTGCTAGGTCCAGCGGCAGGGGGTAGAGAGGGATCTGGCTCCCCTATCTGTTTCCTCTTCTGTCACGTGGCTCCAGACAGAAGTCTCCACCCATCCTGGCAACAGCAACTGGCTCCAGTCAGAGCAACTGACTCCACTTGGCAGTCTCCTTCAGACATACCAGCCCAGCTAGCCATCCAGCGCCCCCTTCTCAGAGGTCTAGTTTCCCCGTCTGCAAGGTCCATCATCCAAGTATTGAAGTTTTCATTATCCTAACTTCTTCCCTTTGCGCCCCCAGCCTTAGAGGTACAGCTGCTTCCTGCGGTCTGTGGCCTCCGTGAACCTCGATGTCCCTTTGCAACTCTTGGATTATCCAACACCTGGGTAACAAGTGGTGCGGTTCGGGAAATGCGCCACCTTGGCACACGGAATATTTTAAACTGAAGAAGTTTGAGAAATGAGAAGAAGCAGTAAGGTTACTCTGACCTCCGCCCCCTCGCCCCCTTCTTCTCTGAAACAGGTCACGAAGCCCTCCCGTGAGGGGTCCTCTCTGTACCCGGAGGAAAGAAGCACCCTTATCTCTCAAGACAAAGGGACACCGTGAAGAATCCTAACAGAGGGCCCTGCTCAGTCTCCCCCGGGTCACTACGCTCGCCTTATCCTCTGTGACCTGTCACATCCCCCCACGGCCGCCCACCCTCCAGCACGCCCGCTGAGCAATTCGCAGCTCTAATGGTTGCCGTGGGTCTCATTTCCTTGGGAAGGTTCCACGTGGCGTCACACTTCTATTAAATAAATGGATATGCGTTTCTCTTGCTAGTCTGTCCTTGCTGGTTTGCTTTCCAGACCCAGTCGTGGACCCTAAAGGAGTCAAGGAAAACTTTTCTGTCCCGTACAGAACTCTTCACAGTACTTCCTTCCGCTAAAGTAACTTGCTTAGCTGTCTCCTGATCAGACCCAACCTGACACACTCTTCCTCTCTCTCTTCTGTGGACAGAGCTATGTTACTGTGTGCATAAGAATATACGAACACATCCTACATTTTTCCCCCACATAGAGCTATCAATAAATTAACATATCCTGACATTTCTATTCTAGATCTTCTCCGCCTCATATCTAAATACAGGATAGAAAAAGGGAACAGAGCACATCAAATCCTACAATCTGACACATCTGAGAGTAATTAACCCCTGAGGTGCAGTCTCTGGGAGCTCATTCCTGGGCACACGTGCCTGGACAGCTAAAACTCAAGTAAGACACATGGACATTTCCATTAGCAGAGATCAACACGTGGGAGTCCTGGCACGGGCATTTGCTAAAGCATAGGGTGCAGACCTTCTGTAGCAATACGTCACCAACTAACTATGTCAGATGAATGGGAGCCCTCTGCAATGCTGCGACCTTTGACAGTCTTAACTGCCTCCACCTGCCAGCTCTCCAGAGAAGGTACAAACACAACATAATACAATGCAATGCAGTACAAGAGGAGACTATACGATATCAGAACCACTTTAGAGGTACTGACCACGACCACCCCTATCCCCACTTCTCCAATAATGCTACCAGTCTTATCCTCTGTAAATAGAGCAGGAGGCCCGGGATGAAATCCCCACCGCTTGTTGGTCACCACCTGCTTCTTCAAACTAGGTAAGTTGAAGAAGCACCTGTTAAGCCACGGCATCTCGAAACACATGCAGCCTTCATTCTTCTGCAATGAGCCCTGTGGCTGAATCAGGACTTCATGCCACAGATAGAGTGGCTGTCTTTAACCCACGGTGTTGCTACCCCACCTGCTAGCCCCAACATGATCTGCAGCCAAGATATGCCTAGGAGAACACGGGGCATCCAAACTCGGAGCCGTTACAACCTGGATCCTCAGACTCCAAACTGCCTTCCATCATCAGTAAGCTTCAGCTGACACCTTCTTCCCTACGCCACTTGGACCACACTCCTCGAGGAACTCACATAAGAAAGCGTAAGGGTTCTGGCTTCGATGTCACCCACTGTTAATCTGGGCCTTCACACACAGTGGCTTCCTCAATGTACAAAACCTCTCTGTCCTTACCGTTCCAAGCTATTGTTCCCGTTAATACCTGTAAATGTAGCAGAGGCTGTTGACATCCAACCTGCCCTTATCACTCAGCCCTCTTCAAGGCCAACCTCCGACCACCATTAGCTGCATCTCTTTGCATTTGAGTTTTCTCCAAAAACTATCTGTATGGGCATGGCAGTCCAGGAATATGTGGGCATTAACTCGTCCTGAAGGGAGTCCTCAACCGGAGGATGATAGAGTCCGGGGGATAATGTTCTTAGCTGCTCCCCCGAATTTCCCCATAGGCTTGAGCTCAAGTGTCCCTCATCATCCACCCCTGGCTCAGTAACACACCCTTTATTGGCCGCCTTTCTATCTCTTAGCTTCCTTTCCCATTCCTCTTAGTGGTGTTTCCAAAACTTCTCAAATAAACTACTTGCTCTTAAATCCTTGTCGCTCAGGGTCATTCCTGGAGAGCCAAAAACTTAGGCAGCAGAAAACTATCTTCTTCCAACTCCAGTTACTTCAAGGCATTTCAGCAAATGCCTTAACTTTACGTACATATTGATATATGAACATAAATGTGTGTTCCTAGGCTACTTTAATTGGATTTATAA